AGATAGAGCAGCTGAGGACTCCAGACTCATGGAAAGAGAAAGGCTGTGTGCTGGCGGCCAGGAGGCAGGCTTGCAGAATGTTTGGTTGTTTAAATGATTATATATTTCTGAGTGTTTTTATATACCAAAACAAAACAAAAACACAAACCCACACAAAAAAGAGGGAATAGAAATAAATACCGTTAAATGATGATGCATGGAGGGGATTGTAATCATTGCAATGAAACAAAATATGATAGGATGAGTGCAAAACCATTGTTCTCCTATGTTGACGACCACTCAATTCACAATAAAAGCTTTAATAAATAAATAAAATAAACAGGAACAAAATTGCAGTTGAGAATGTCAATAACAAATAAGATCCTCACTTAGAGTGGCAGGGCTTAAGACATCATTAGGCCAAATAACATCATTGATGACCCTTCCTAACTCATCTGCACCTGAATCAGAGTGATCAGTAAACCAGGTCAAAAAAAGCTTTCTGGTTCTTCATGCTACCTCTTCCTGCTGGCTTTATTCTGTGTTTGACTTGAGCATTTCATCAAGTCCTTTCCAGATTTCCATTCGATTTCAGGGAATTTTGAGGATGTTTCACCACTGTCATTCAAGTGACTCTTTGGAGAGAACTTTAATTTTGAAAAAAAAATATTTTTATCAACGTTAAAAGCTATTCTGTAACCTGCTTTAATATCTTCAAATTCTGTCACTTCAACTCTGGTGAAATGATGCAGTTCCTCTTCATTCTCCTTTCTAGGCAACACAGATACTTGTGGATGGTTGACAAATACTGTTACCCAAAAGGTTGGGATTTTGGCGATCAATTCTTACCTCTTCTAAAAGAATGGTTGGCGGAGTTTGTTACATTTCTGTTCCACCTTCATATTTCCTGATTGGCTGTCCATTAGGTCTTTTTCATTTTGTACTTCATCAATATGTTCAATTGCTTCCTGCTGTTCTTTTTCTCCTGGTAAATTCAGAGAGGTTGAAGTCTCCTGCAACTTAGGTTTCTTCATTTGAGGCAGGAGCGAAGAGAAGCATTTGGGGGCCATGTAGCAGGCAGAGTCCAAGAAGCATATGAAAGAGGAGATGCATGTCTGGAAAAAGCGTCATCACCTTTTATCTTGCAAGCAGATAAAAGGAGAGAAAAGTAGACCAGATAACCACTAAGAAAGAAGAGTCAGGAGTGAAGTGAGTTCTTTGGACCTGGGGTCTCTGTGCTGAGAATCTCCTAGACCCTGATATAGAAATATTCAAAGTAAAACAATCCTTGTTGTTGTTGTTAGGTGGCAAGTCAGCTCCAACTTTTAATGACCCTCTGCACAACAGAATGAAACACTGCCCTGTCCTGTGCCATCCTCACAAGGATTATGTTTGAGCCCATTGTTGCTACCACTTAGTCAGTCCATCTTGTTGGAAGTCTTCCTCTTTCTTGCTGACCCTCCACTTTCACAAGCATGATGTCTTTTTCCAGGAACCGATCCTTCCTGACAACATTTCCAAATGATGAGATACAAATCTGCAAGACTGAAAATAGTGAACCAGAGATACCTACCAGCTTGCAACAACAAAAACCCATAAAGTAAAAACAGGGACTAATGTAGTTACAGAACTTCCAAATGAAGAGGAAATTGAGTAGATTTCAATAAATAAAGAACCCTAACTGCAACACTAAAACTAGTTCAAACCTTTCTCCTAGCCCTGTCCCAACCCCTACCCCTAACACTAAATCTGTTGTTATGTGCCATCGAGTCAGTACCAACTTATAGTGACCTTATGCACAATGAAACACTGACTGATCATGGGCTAATCTCAAAAGCACTGCTACACCTGAGCCCATCACTTCCACCACAGTACCAATTTATCTCATTGGGGGTCTTCCTCTGTTTCCCTAACTCTCCACTTTACCAGACACGATCTCCTTCTCCAGTGACTGGTCCCTTCTGATAACATGTCCAAAGTAGTCCCACCCATAATCCTACCATGAAATAATGTCCTAGCTCAAGTTTAGACCTAACCACGGTCAGAATCCTAACTCCTTACTCCTGTTGTTGTTATTAGGTGCTGTCAAGTGGGTTCGACTCACAGTGACCTTATGCACAACAGAACAAAACACTGCCCAGTCCTGTGCCATCCTCACAATCATTGTTAAGCTTGAGCCCATTATTGCTGTCACTGTGCCCATCCATCTTGTAGGGGGCCTTCCTCTTTTTGCTGACCCTCCACTTTACCTAGCATGATGTGCTTCTCCAGGAACTGGTCCCTCCTGATAGCATGTCCAAAGTATGAGCGTCTCACCATTCTGGTTTGTAAGGAACAATCTGTCATGCAAGACAGATTTGTTTGTCCTTCTAGCAGTCCATGGTACTTTTAGTATCCTTCTTCCATGCCATAACTCAAATGCATTAACTCCTAACTCCTACCTCTCCCCCCCCCCATTTGTAAAAGTAAAGAAGTCATTTAATTGAATTCATTGAAATGGTCGACTTATCAAGTTCTCTAACTTTTGTGCATGATGTAGGACTAGATTGTTTACCAGGATGTGCACAAGAACATACACTTGTGTTTGTATCATGGCAAAGAGCATTGTTGACTCTTCTGGCTGGAGTTACTGGATCAGCATATGTACCAGGTATACCAGATGGCGCTCTCAAAAATAGATCAGAGGCCGGTTTCCCATTAGCACAATCTGTCATTGCCCAGTAAGTGCTCATGTTGGATCCAGTTGCATATTGGGTGAATGAAGAAAGAGTTAGATGGCAGTCTTACTTACTATTAGAAAGAAATAGTATACTCCAAGAGATCCACCACGATAAAACATTTCAAATACATAGGAGAGGATTATAGGAGACAGGTTTTAAGGAAGGTATTGAAAGAGTAGGGGCCTCATGACTTGAACAACCTTGTGTGTGGGCACCCTCATGACTCTGTGAACTTTATTTCTGGTCAGCACATTCTCACACATTGGAGCTTGTATCAATTCCCTTCCACTGTCTTGCTCACTTTTCCTTGTGTCCTGTCTGTTTAGCATCTATGGGTCTTTACTTTGAACAACAGGTGTTCCTGGTGTGTTGATGCCCTAAGCACTTACTTACCTTGGTTGCTGGTTAACCCATCCCTGGTGGTCAGGGTTTATGATCTGAGATAGGGCTTAGCATTTCAATTCCAGGTGAGGTAGATCCTGGAGCTCGTGATGGGAGAGTTCCCTAGAGTGGAATGAATCAACAGTCATTGACTTATCAGAAGCTAAAGAACGGACGATCAAGGATGTTACATCGTCTACTTACGTGTGTGTTCAAGGTAATATATTTTATGACAAGATTAAAAATAAACAGAAAATGTGGAAAATTGGAGTTAAAATGTTTTGTGGCTTCTAGGGAGACTGTAAAGTTGGTGGAGAGATAGGGAGAAGTTAGTAGGGCCATACTTCTTAAATGTCCGAAATGGGGAGTATTCTTATGGGCAGTGCTCATAAAATTGAAAGTAAGAAAGAAAGAAAGAAAGGATGATGAGTTGATGCCCCTAACCCGGTTAGAATCCATAACACCTCTCATTCATTCATTCATATGTTCGCTGAGCACCTGCTGTGTTCTGGGCACTGTTCTTGGAGCTTGAGCTGCAAACAGCAGCTCACAGCACAGTTATCAGGGAGAAAAAAATGCAGTAGAGATCAATCTTTCTGTGGCTGTCTCTTTGAGTTTAAATTATCTCCATACTCTGCACCAAAAGAATGAGATGGTCCTTCTCAGATAGTTTCAGCACAAATGCTTCATCCTTCTTTCAGAGATAATTAGCCACAGAAATAGACATATAGAAATAGTGCATACAATATCCATCAAGGGGTTAAAAGATAGCTTCATTGCTGCAACTCCAGCCTCTCTTTTAGCCAACTCTCCTCTACAATATTTTCTCTAAAGCTAGAGTCTCTCTAACTTTGCCCCTCACCTGTCCTTATCTCTCATTCTTATAACCCTGAATTGACCTTCCTCAAAGCCACCACTAACTGACCTTGACTTAATCTAGCTCCCAGAGTAAGCTTGATTCTTCCACACCCATGTGGAGCCAGAGCAGAGCATGGATTTCCTAAAGATGTGCCTAAGGAACACCTTGTGTGTGTGTGTGTGTGTGTGTGTGTGTGTGTGGCTGAGTGAACACAGTCTCAGGGTTATAACATCACTCACTATCGTCAGCACCTCTGTCTAGCCTGCTCAATGTGTGCTGTGGGCTAAAAGTTCAGATTCAGCCCGACTCAGCATCCTCTGGCTGGTCTAGCTCTGATCAGCACCGGGAGGAAGAACAGCTCCTCCCGCTTAGATCAGCACCCGAGGCGGACAGCTCCTTCATTCCATGGACGAGGTGCTTTCTGGGCCGGAATCAACCTAGATCCAGGTTTCCGACCCTGTTCTGGATTCCTTGGGAGGTCAGTGCAGCTCCTGGGATTGGACCCACTCCTTCGCCAGACTCCCCTTCAAAGGAAACTCAGTTACCAGAGGTCAGCGGGTCCAGGCCTCTACCTCGCTCCTTTCCCCACCACAGACTCATCCACGGCTTTACCCGTCACCCCTCCTCATCCGCAGATCTCCTTCTCAGGAACCTGGTCCCCCACAACCAATCCGCTTCTCACCTGGTACCCCACCCCCAGTCGCCGCACGCAGAAAAAAACACAGCACACCGGATCCTTCCCCAACCAGCGCCTCCGTCAAACCACAGTCTCTCGGCCAACCAGCGTCCCCATCGCCCCCTCCCCGCCCTTCTCAGTTCCCTCCCTCCTTGCCCAGATCCTCCCTCTCCTCCTCCCCTTCCCCCTGCGGCGCGGCCGCTAGCGCTGCCGCGGAGTCCGGGCTGCTGTCGTGAGGTGTACCGGCGGGCGGGTGTCGCAGGGCGTGTCACGAGGTGAATTGGGGAGGGCCAAGAGCAGAGGGAGGGAGCGACCAAGGGCGCGCGCGGCTGTCGCTCCGTCCGCCCCTCCCCCGCCGCAGTCGGGAGGCCTTTCCCTGGAGAAGATGGCGGATCGGGCGGAGATGTTTTCTCTTTCCACCTTTCACTCGCTGTCGCCGCCGGGCTGCAGGTACGCACCATGGCGGGGCCCCTTACCTAGCTGCAGCTTCCTCTCCTTCCGGTTCCCAAACTCCTCCGCCACCCACCTTCACCCACCCCCGTGGTCTTTGCTTTGGGGCCTATGCAGCCCCCTCCCCCGCCTCCGGAGGCTCTGACTCCAGCGCTCCCCCCTTCGGGGTCCCTCCGTTTTTGTCCACATCATCCGGTTCAAGTGACCCTAGCAACTGTCGCACCTCCCCTCCCCCATCTCCCGCTGGGTCCCAGTGCCGCACCCAGCCTGGGAAGCAACCTGGCAAGGCCTTGAGCAGGATGCTGGGTACACCCTCAGTGCCCAGTGTTCTTGTAACCCTGGGAGCCCTGTGGTGGGGTCCAGGGAAGGGAGAGAGTTAAGTCAAGCCTGGAGTCTTGGGGGAACGGACGGAGTGGGGAGGGGGCTGGACCTCTGGGTGTAGGCAGGCTGTGGGTGGGAGGGAGGCAAATTTGCGGCCCCCCAGAGCATCTGACCCCTCCCTGCTGCTGCGGTGGCTGCGGTGGCTTCAGCTCCCTTCCCCCCTCTCCTGGCGCATTGGGATTCCCTTGAGGCTGAGACTCTGAGACCCAGAGGGCTCGAGCTGTCTGGGAAGGGAGGAGGGGTTTCAGGAGATAGTTTTCTCTGGGGCTGGTGTAGTGCAATTGGGGAGGGATCCCCAGGGATCAGAGCTTGGGGTTCATGTTGACGTCAGTGTGTGGTTCTGGGAGCTGGGGCCTCTGGAGACCATGGCCTTCCCTCAAGACCAGGATCTGTGTCCTTGCTCTCTGACCCTGGGCTCCTCTCTAGGGCTCCTCAGGACATAAGTCTGGAAGAATTTGATGATGAAGATCTGTCAGAGATCACTGATGACTGTGGGCTTGGTCTCAGCTACGACTCAGACCACTGTGAGAAGGTGGGAGAGGGGCTGGGCCCACATAGCCCAGATGGAGGGAGGGTCTGGCTTAGGCTCTGTGTAGAATTTCCTGGAGTTTTGGGGTGGGTCTAGGTTTAGCCTTGAAGCCGGAGCTCCTCTTACTGCCCCTAGCCTCCTTAGCCTCTTGGCCTGTGGTTTAACAGACACCATCAGTAGGTCTTCTGCTGGGGGCCCAAGCTTCTGCCGAAGTATTCCCTGTGGTAGCAGCTGGGGGAGGGGAAGTGTCCATGCACTTTGCAGAGGAAATGCTGATGCCCTAAGTACTCAGGTTATTTCCCAGAAAGATGTAGCGCCTTCTGGCTGCCATCTCATCACATCTTGTTTCCTATCTTTCCAGCCCCTTGTCTCTACCTCCATAAATCTTCTCACTTCCCTATCTCTTCCAACTCCTCACCTCTCAACATCTCTTTAGTTTCCTTCATTCAAGAACATATCTTAGCCCTAAGGCAGTCCCTGGAGACTTGTGGGTGCTAGGAGCTAAACTGGACAGGTATGGCCCTGGCCCACGGAGAGGGGAGACAGACATATAAGAGGGTGGCTGTCCATATACCAAAGGCTGAATTCAATGGGGGTGATAGTGGACACAAGGTTCTATGAGTGGGAAGGCACCAACCCCAAGTGAGGACTTCCCAGAGGAAGAAAGTTGGCAGGAGCCAGGCAAATGGGATGGTGGGAGGGGGGAAGGTGGGCATTGAGGGAAGGGGAAGCAGGGGGCGGAGTTACTGGCCCTGAAGGTGCTGTAGGCTGTGTTCCCTCATTTGCTTATTCACTCACTCGCTTACTCAATGACTGTTTTCAGGGCTGGGAGCACCTGAAAACTGTTTGGACATAGCTTTGCCCTTGTGGGGGCTTTCACTATAATGGGGAACAGACCAAACCCCATGTATAATCACTGTGAACTATTAACTGCTAAGAAGGAAATAGTGTCAGTGTTGAGTGAGTGGGACAGTCCAGGGACAGGGAGGTTAGGGAGGGGGGTTGGGACCCTTCTCTAGACCCTCTGTCTTCCTCACATAGGAGATGGAGTTTCCCAAGATCCCTTAACATACTGGTGGTGGGGGGCAAAGTGAGCTGCTTCCTGCTTGTCGATTTCTTGGTACCTGGGACCCCAAGTCGCTGCCATCTTCTCTTCTTCCTGCAGGATAACCTCTCCCTGGGGCGTTCGGAGCACCCGCACCCCATCTGCTCCTTCCAGGATGACTTCCAGGAGTTTGAGATGATAGATGACAATGAGGAGGAGGAAGAGGAGGAAGAGGAAGAAGAGGCAGATGGGGAGGGTGAGGAGGGAGGTCACTGTGGCTCAGAAGCCCCTACCTCAGAGCCCCTAATACCCTCCCCCTCTACCAACGAACCCCACAAGCACCGGCCCACCACGCTCCACCTGACTGCCCTAGGAGCGCAGGTGAGTGGTGCCCCCAGCACTGGTCAGCCTGGGACACTATGCCTCTCTGCCTGTCCCTTGCATCCTGTGGGCTGGAGCCCCTCCTCAGTCCTGCCCCCTGCCCCCCCAGGACTCCTTGAACAACAACAATGGAGGATTCAATCCTGCTCCTCCAGCTTCCTGGCAGGAGACGCTGCTCTGCTCACCCCCCCAGGAACCCCTAGGAGGTGAGTGATGGTGGGGACCAGAAGGCAGGAGAGGGAAGGGGCTGGTGCTGGAAGAAGCCAAGCTGTGATGACCAAGGCACTCCCCCCTCCCACAGAGCCTCCCGGTGCCCTCCCGCCCACCAACGCAGGTCCTCTTGGGTCACCGTCTCCTGAACACACAGGCTGCGACTACGAAGGAAACCCGCCCTTGGTCCGTGCTGCGCCTGGCGGAGCCTCACCCTCTTCGGACCCAGGCATTGAGGCCGACCTGGGGAGCCGCTCAAGTGGGGGCCGCGGGGGCCGACGAAGCAGCCAGGAGCTATCAACGCCAGGCTCAGACTCAGAGGAAGTGGGTGGCCCGCGCCTGGGCCGCATGATCTCGTCCATCTCGGAGACCGAGCTGGAGCTGAGTAGCGACGGTGGTAGCAGCAGCAGTGGCCGCTCCTCGCACCTCACCAACTCCATTGAAGAGGCTTCTTCACCAGCCTCCGAGCCCGAGGCTGAGCTCCCGCACGAGCCGCCACGCCGGCCCGCCTTCTTGCCAGTGGGTCCGGACGACACCAACAGCGAATACGAGTCGGGTTCCGAGTCAGAGCCCGACCTCAGCGAGGACGCCGATTCGCCCTGGCTGCTCAGCAACCTGGTGAGCCGCATGATCTCCGAGGGCTCCTCGCCCATCCGCTGCCCGGGCCAGTGCCTGTCACCACGCCCGCCCGGGGAGACAGCATCGCCGGCTGGCGGGGACACCGATGCCGCTGAGGCAACAGTGGCAGCTGGCGTGGAGCTGGTGGACATGGAGACGCTGTGCGGCCCACCGCCACCTGGGCCCCCAGCGCCAGCCAGGCCCGCCCCGGCACAGCCCGGGCCCTGCCTGTTCCTCAGCAACCCCACACGAGACACCATCACACCCCTGTGGGCCGCGGTGGGCCGCACTGGCCGCCCAGGCCGCGCCTGCTCAGCCGCGTGCTCAGAGGAGGAGGACGAGGATGAGGAGGACGCCGAGGAAGGCGCAGGGTCGCCAGGGGGCAGGGGTGCAGGCCCTGCCGTACCACGGGATGCATCTCTGGTCTATGATGCCATCAAGTATACGCTCGTGGTAGATGAGCACACACAGCTGGAGCTGGTGAGCCTGAGGCGCTGCGCAGGCCTGGGTGAGGACAGCGAAGACAGCGGAGGCGAAGCCAGCGAGGAGGAGGTGGGGCCTGGGCTGCTGGGCAGTGGCAGAGGCGGGGACCCAGAGGACGCCTCCCCAGACAGCCCAGACCTTACCTTCTCCAAGAAGTTCCTCAATGTCTTTGTCAACAGCACATCTCGATCTTCCAGTGAGTGGGAGGTGGGAAAAGGGGGGTAGTCCCCTCTGTATAGGCTCCTAGGTTGCTGCTGTTCCCCCAAGTGTCCAGGCAGCCTGTGGGGCACCCCTGGTCAAGGCGGGTGCTGCTCTCTTGGCCAGGACAAGGGGCGCTAGCAGACCCCAGGTGGGTGGGAAGGCCTGCTTTACCCGGTCTGAGGATACCCACTCCAGACCTTTTGGAGCAGATGAGGAGTCTGGAGTGGGTAAGCCCAGGCCTACAGGCACACACAGTCTGTCTCTGTCCCGCCTCTGTCTCCCCATCTCTGTCTCCTCGTCTATGCTAGGCACTGAATCCTTTGGCCTTTTCTCCTGCCTGGTGAATGGTGAGGAGAGGGAGCAGACTCATCGCGCGGTCTTCAGGTACAGCCACTCCCTTGATGCAGCCACTGGGGATCCTTGGCAGACCCTTCCCTCCCATCCACAGACATGCCCTCCCCTGGGTGACTGCAGGTTTATCCCCCGTCATCCTGATGAGCTGGAGCTGGATGTGGACGACCCAGTGCTGGTGGAGGTGGAGGAGGACGACTTCTGGTTCCGTGGCTTCAACATGCGGACAGGGGAGCGAGGAATCTTCCCTGCCTTCTATGCCCATGCAGTGCCCTGCCCTGCCAAGGAACTGCTGGGTGAGGCCCTGTCTGGGTGCGGGATCTCTGTCAGCCCAGCCCCTTGCCCCCCCCCCGACCTAGACTGGGTGTGACTTTGCAGGGAGCAAGAGGAGCCCCTGCTGGGTGGACAGATTTGACGTGCAGTTCTTGGGCTCCGTGGAGGTGCCCTGTCACCAGGGCAACGGCATCCTGTGTGCAGCCATGCAGAAGGTCAGTCGTGGGGCTGAACAAGGTGGAGAGGTAGGAGGCCACAGCGTGGCTCATACAAGCTCTGGTTACAGACTGGTCACAGCTCCTGGTACCTCTAGGCAGGAGACAAGGGGTACAACAGAAGCATCTCAGGAGCACCTTTCCCCTCCCCTCACCCCACCTGATTCACAGACTGAACAGACAGGCCCTGCCAGGGGGGAGCTCTGGGCCAGTTCAGCGGACCACACCCTCTGCTCGTCCCTCTTGCCCTTCAGCTTGTCCTGTCTCTGTCAGAAAAAGAAAGCCAATTCTCTCAGCCCTGGGCCTTTGGTTCATTCCTTCATTCCCTCAAGGTGTGAGTGAGCAAACCCTGGGAGTAAGGCTGGAAGGAGGAAGGGATAGACACCCAAGGGACAGACAGACCAGCCCTGTGTCTAGGACTCACTGAGATGGGGTGGGGATAGTACTCCACCCGCCACATGAGGTGAGGGTGCCAAGGAGATGGGCAGACTACATGTGTCCCTTTCTCCAGAACCACTTCTTACAGGCTTCAGGGCTGTGTCTTCAAACAGAACCTAAAGATGACAGACACAGTTCCACCAAGAGAGGGACCGAGGCCCTGTGAGCCCCTTGAGATCCCACTCCGCTGACTTCCTCCCTAGATTGCCACAGCCCGGAAGCTGACCGTCCACCTGCGCCCTCCTGCCTCGTGTGACCTAGAAGTCTCCCTTCGTGGGGTCAAGCTGAGTCTGAGTGGAGGAGGACCTGAGGTCGGGGCACTGGGGCACAGGAGGGGGGTGGGGAGCTGGTGGTATGGCCATGAGGAAGGGCAGGATGGGCCTGGCCTCCCCGGTGGCTGCCTCGGGCACATCTACTCACTTCTGTTTTAGTTGGAGCGTTGCAGCCACTTCTTCCAGATGAAGAACATCTCCTTCTGTGGCTGCCACCCACGCAACAGCTGGTGAGATCCCACCCTCCGAGTCCTCTAATCCTGAGGGCCTCCTGCGCCCACCCTCCATGTACTGGACCCCTGCTCTACACTGGCCTCGGAGAAAAAAAGTCAGGCGAGGCTCCCATCTAGCTTGGGTGGGAGGCAGACATAGTATGTGAATAAGAGGTCTGTGGACCATTGGGCGGTGTCTGTAGGGCACCATTAAGCAGATCTGGGGGAGACAGTTCTCCTGGGGATACCTGCTGAGCCTCGAATGCCAAGTGCAAGCTGAGCAAAGACCTCTAGGGTGCTCTGCTGTGGGGCAGCAGGGAGGCATCTGCCCTGAGGCTGGAGATATCAATAGAGACCCAGGATGCTTGTGCCGAGGACCTTGTACTAACCCCTCAGCAATGGACCTCAAGATGCTCTATACAAGGGTGTGGAGCAGCCAGGAGCCAGCGCATAGCACTCCCAGCTAGACATGGGCTGCAAGTTGAGGCAGCTCTGTGGGCTGGGCAATGGATGATGCCACAGGCTCAAAGAAGAAACCAAGTGACCAAGCCTAGATGTGACAGTCTGGCTCAGAGTATGGAGAGAGGCAGGGAGCAAATGGCCAAGTCACCAGGAAGCACTGTGAGAGAAAGAGAAGAGGGACATGGTGTGACCAGTGGGTGGGGAGGGGCTGTAGGTTCCCGAGTCAGAGGACCCAGTGGGTCCTGCTCAGTTCCTGTGTTCTGTGGAGGAGGTGGGGAAGTGACCACCTGGAGGCTCCATGACTTTGAGCCTGGTGGAGTGTGGGAGGTGGTGTTCCCGAGGATAGGCAGAGGCAGCACATGTGTGATTTGGGAACTCCTATGGGAAAGAACCAGCTGGTGGAGGATCTAACCAGTTAGATGTTGCTGAGGGTATACAAAGGCAGGACAGTGAGCGTGGCCCCGGTATAGGAGGACAGTGGGTGTTGGGTGGGCATGGTACCACAGGGAGGAATGAGGGCCCTATTTCCCAATTCCATACCCCCGCTTTGGTGTGTGCCTGTCAGGGACCAGCTGTCCTATCACCTGGGAACTGGATGAAGAGATGGCAGTGGGCCTCGCTGGTCCTGTGCCTGGAACCACAGGAGAGGAGTGAGGGCCAAACTTGATTTGTTTTTAAATAGATGTCAGGTTGCAGATGTGCTGGCCATAGTGTTTGGATGAAGTCTCCTGGTGACCCTAATCCCCTGGCACCAGTCTTTGTCCCTCTCCATATTTAGGCCCTGTGGTGTGGCGCTGTGGGTTAATGCGCCAGACTGCAAAGCCGTTTGAACTTCAAGGTCGGTGGTTCAAGTTCACCAGCTGCTCCTCAGAAACCCTATAGAGGGTCGCTATGAGTCGGAACCGACTCGATGGCAGTTAACAACAACAACATACCTCCCTCAGAGGCTTGGTGGGTTTACACACTAAAGACAGAGTGCTGGGATGGCAGCTGGCATGCAGTAAGCAGTGAAGTTTTTAAGAAGGTGTTTGAGGCAGGGACTTGCCTCACAGGTAGCCTATTGAACTGTGGGTTTTCGATGTACAGATGCTAGGTGAGGTGTTACTGCCAGGAGAGCTCTACCCGGTGGATGACAGGCCAGGGCCATGGGGGTCTCAGGCTGCAGGATGATGACCCCTCTCTGCCCAGTAATTTATAACCATGTTATATGAGGAGAACGAGTGCAGGTTCCAAAATAGAACAAACAAGCTTGTTTGCGATGAAGGCTTTGCAGGGCAGAGAGCGGGTTTTAGGAGCTGGGCCCTGAAATACCTGTGAGCCTGCAGGCCCAGAGGTGGGCAGGGCAGGGCAGGGCAGGACAGGTCCAGGGCAGGCCCAGAGGTAGGCAGGGCAGGGCAGGGCAGGGCAGGGCAGGGCAGGAGGCAGGAATCAGCAGGGCACTTCTGAAAGCCAGCCGTTCAGGGCACAGCGAAGGCACTGGCTCAGGAGGGCCAATCCGAAGGCTAAGCCCCTGGACCATGCTGCAGTGTGGCCATCCTTGTAAGATGCCTGACTCATATTAGAACTCTGGAGGGCTGGCACCAGGAAGTCAAGTCCTATGGCTCTCCTGCCCCCTGCTCTTTCCCCCGAAGCCTTCAGTTTCTCTTAGCCTTGGGTGGGTGGAGTCTCTGATCTCCCTCCCACCCCCCACCCCTGCACCCCCAGCTACTTCGGCTTCATCACCAAGCACCCACTGCTGAGCCGCTTCGCCTGCCATGTGTTTGTGTCCCAGGAGTCCATGCGGCCTGTGGCGCAGAGCGTTGGGTGAGTGGGAGAGGGGTGCTGGGGGTGAGTGGGGGAGGGGTGGTGGGGTAAGGGAGGGAGGGGTGCTGGGGTGGGGTCAGTGAGGCAGGGGGTGCTGGGGTGGGGAGATTCAGATGTGACGAGAAGCTGCGCTGGGCATGCAGGTTGATGCAAGCCGTTTGCCCTGGTTAGCACAGGGGTCAGGAGAGGGGAGTGGGGTGGGGCGCAGCATTGGGCAGGGAGAAGTGGGGTGGGGTTTGACAGTAGGCCCCCCACCCCACCCCCAGCCGCGCCTTCCTGGAGTACTATCAAGAGCACCTAGAGTATGCCTGCCCCACAGAGGACATCTACCTGGAGTAGCCGCCACCCTTCTCCTGCTCCACCTGCCCCACCTGCTCCAGGCATAACTGGGCTGGGGCTGCCTCAACTGGCCACTGTGGCTTTGGCAAGGACTGAATTAGGGACCTTACATTCATGGGGTCTCTGGGCTGCCATGGGGACTCCTTCCTCATACTTGTTCCCCAGACACGGGCTTTGGGGGCCGCTGGAGAGGGAACCCCGGGTCTGCCCTGTCGCCCCACCCCACTCTTTTCCTCTGACCTAGCCTTTCTCTGTGTGTTGCTGTATCCCCGTCTGCCCTTTGATCTCTGACCCCCTGTTTTCTCCTACGTCTGTCTGGCTCCTCTGTGCCCTATAAACCTGTCCTTGGCCCTCACTGGACTTGGGGGTAGAACTGGGGGTGTTGGGGAAAACTCTGGTGGCTGCTGACGTTGGGCTCCTAAGCGGCCCCCTCTCCCCCATAATTTATAAAGGAATTTTAATTTTTATAGCAACTCTAGGGGTCCCCCTATCCTTGACCACAGAGACAAAGAGAGACCCCCTACTTGGAGCTCAGGGGCCAGCAAGGAGGGCTCCCCAGAAGAACCCTGGGGGCTAGGAGTGGCTCTTGGTGCCCACCCCAGGCTCCTGGACCTGCTAGAGGAGGGTGCCCCTGGTTCTGGCCCATCCGCTTTGCGCTGCTAGCACCCCGGTCCAGTGCATCTGTATCCGCCCCTCGCTGTACGTGGGCCTTGCCCACCAGCTTCAATAAACTCTGCTTGGTGTGACCTGGCTGTTTCTCACGGGGTGCCCACGCAGCGTCTGAGACTCCAGGGTAACTAGGATTATGGGGGTCACTGAGGAAGTCTCCCTTCCAGTGCTGGGTCAGGTGCTATATAGGGAGCACCCTTGGGGACCCTTCTCAAGGTCACTTGATGTGCTGGTTGGGAACTGAGGTGAGGGGGAAGAGACCCCTTCAGGCAGTATGCAGCTAGGAAGGGCTCTAGGGGAGGAGGGGAGCTGGCTCAGATCCATGTGTGTGTGATAGGGGAGCATGAACTCGAAAACAATCTACTTGGATCTGGAAATGGGCCTTTTCCAGGCTCCGCAGAGCTCGACAGAGGAAACCAGCAAGGAGGTTCGGTGAATGCGGCCTCCAAGATGAGCCCAGAGATGGGTTCTCTCCCCTAAGTGGTGGCCAGCACTGCGTTGGGTGACACCTGCTCCCAGCCAAGGTCTATGAGTTGAACGGGTGAGCTCAAGAAAGCTAAATGCAGCTGCCAACAAAAACTGCATAGCTGTGCACTCAGACGAAAGGCAAAGTGAGGAAGCCAGTGTGTGGAGCTGGAATGTGAGGCAGAAGGCAAAGCTCCTTGCCCTGCGTCCTGAGTGACCTTTGTCATCCGGACTGCACCAGGGCTGCTGTACCACTGACCATTGTGTCCAGCTTTCAGGTGGGAGGAAGGGGCAAAGAGGCACATTTGTTATCTTTACTTGGTGGTGGTGTTAGGTGCCATTCCAACAAACAGTCGGTTCCATACGGGGTTTCCGAGGAGTGGCTAGTGAGTTAAAATGCTGCCTTTTGCAGCCCAGTGCTTATCCTACAGAGCCACCCTCACCCCCGCCCCAGCCCCATAAAGCACAGCTGAGACTATGTTCCCAGCCGAGGAGAAGAACTAGCCAGATCATGTACTAGGTTTGCCCCGGAACCATTCTGAAGCATGGGAACCAGGACTGTTTGCCTGAGCTCCCTACCCTTGTGGGAGGGGAGAGGGGTGGAGCAGCAAGTTCTCAGGACCACCTCGCAGCCACCTCAGTGTAAGTCTGACAGGTTCTCACTCAGTTCAGGAGGCACAGAAGGCAGACCCAGCCTGGGGGCCCTCACAGGAGACCCACTGCTCACTAAGGAAGTGCTGAACAGAGCAGGGGGAACCTGTGAATTAGACTCACCTGGTTACAGCTATGGACGCAGGTATGGTGGGACTTGGCAGGTGTGAGAATCGTGTTGGGCATCTCCCTTTGCTCTGCAGAGTCATGTTTTATAGATTTGGTATAGAAGCCGCCACATGACCACTGTTTGTCTTTCTGGGAACCCAATTTGGATAAGGATATCCCATCAGGGCACCTGGTGTAGGCGCATCAGCTCCCAATCAGGAAGAGGGACCCTCACACACAGCTTTGCAGAAGGGAAGACAGTTGTGCCCCCAAAGCTGGCTCAACCCTCTGAATTGATGAAAATATCATTTGCCTTATACCTGCCTGGTGTGGGGGCCTGGCTCTCCTTGCTCTCTGTCCCTGCCGGTACCACAGGGCACAGGTACCTGTCCAGAAGCAGCTCCCCACTACACAGTTTATTGGGTCTAAGCTGTGATCAACTGGGGGGGTGGGGGTGCCAGAGCCAGAACCCTTAGTTCCACCCACCACCTGGACCCCTGCACTTCTCCCTTAGCAGCCCTCCCCCCCAGTAAGGACCAGCTGGGTGGCAGCATGATGAGGGTCAGGTTGGGACAACCTGGGGCTGTCCCCCAGGCTCAGCTCTGACGTGGATTTGGCATCGAAGCCACCACACATTTGCTTGCATCAGGCCATCGCTCACATTTACTGGTATCAAGCATGTGGGGTGGCCCTGTTTACACATCCTTCTGAGATGTGACTAACTTCAGCCAAGGGGAGTGTCTTGGAGGGTATTGGTGACCCCGAGGTCGAGAAGAGGGCAGGACAAGAGGCTCTAAAGGTGGGGCACAGCTGCCTCAGAGGGTTGGGTCCTGGGTGTTTGGCTGACCCCGCTACTGCTTATCATTCACTCTGGGGGCGCTGTCAGTGCAGAGGGCATGAACTGAGGGCCAGCTGTACCCCGTGTCACCACAGCTGCCTGGGAGGCTTCCTTGGGACTGCTTGGCGGAGGGACCTCCTCAGTCAAAGGAGCTATGGAGATGGGGGGGGGGGGGGGGGGGGTCCCTGCACCAGGTGGCAGGCAGTATGAGGTGAAAATCCCGTGAGATCCCAGTGCAGGAAGGTTCGTGATTAACTGAGCACAGGGAGTCATGTGGTGCACACTTTCAGCTGGAAGCACTGTGACCTGGCTGGAGACTTGTGTCATTGGGTTGCTCTGAGTACATGTCACTTTTGTGATGACCGAAATTCGGAGAAGTGACTTCTTAAAACCCAGTATTCCATAGAAGTATTCCCTTCCCTCCCTTCCGGGCTCCCTTGGCAGGTTCTCCTTAGGAACGCTGACCTACTGCCCCTGGGCATTCGGATTCGTCTGCTGCTTCCTGTTCTGCTCACCTGGCCAGAAACCACATGACCACACTACCCTGAGGGCTACTGGAACTGGGCAGTCACCAGTCCAGCCATGACTTAGCCTAGGGTCACAAAAAAGGTGTTGGTGATGTTTGAAAATAACACTAGTAGAAGGAGACGTTCTGGGGACATCACGGCCAGCATCCGGGACCAGGGGAACTGCAGGCGTACATGTGGCATGCAGGCACACACTAGTTGGCACACGTGCTCATTTGTGAGCGCACATGCACACAGGTATGTGTTACAGATAAGCTGCAGGAGAGCCTGCCTGAGGGGAGGACGGGCTAACACAAGGAAAATACGACAATCGCTCATTTTTGCACACAATGCCAGGGCTGGGAGAGTCTGCTTTTTCCCCTGGGGAGCGTACGTGTAGGTATCCATCAAGTGACAGAACACCCGACAGCAAAAGCTCAAACAAGTGGCATTTATTTCCTCACATAGTGCGCTGTGGAGGGAGGTGCTGAAGACATGGGCTTGGCAGCTGCAGGGTATCACCAGGGGCTGGTCTCTGTCCTGAGGTAGCTCCTCAGCCTCTCCGAGCAGGGAAGCAGTTGAGTTAGCCTTCAGGACTCCAGGCCACATGCTGCTCCTGGACCAAGCACTGGCCATTCTGTCCTGCAGCAGGGAAAACTGTACTCCACCAACCTCCCTGCCCCCGGACCACCCAGGTCAAGGGGGCTCTGCCCAGCACTGGAAAAGTGGGGCCACCTTCTGTGGGTTCATGCCCTCCCCCAGCCATTGCTCCCGGTGCTCCAACAATGTCCTGTCTAGGGCGCTGGGCCTCAGGGCCACAGACCTGCGCATGTGCATACAGGTGATGCACCCTCTGCATTCCCCAGTGACGACAGGAACATGCATCAGGCAGTGCAGGGGGACTATGCTGAGACCTCAGCTACGAGGAGGGGACCCTGAGGCAGGGTCAGCTGGTCAGGGAGTGGGCTTTACCCTCACTGAGTGTCAGGTCTGCGCTGTTTGGCTACAAATAACACAACCTGACAAAGAGCTCTGGTAGCGTAGTGCTTACGAATCGGGCTGCTAATCTCACGTCAGCAGTTGGAAACTCCTAGCTGTTCCGTGGGAGAAAGATGAGGCTTTCTGCTCCCATAAAGATTTACAGCCTCGGAAACCCTGTACAGGGGCGCTATGAGTTGGAACCGACTCCACGGCACATAACAACAACAACAACAACAACCTGACATGATTTTAAAAGGTGACCTTGTCTTCTGGGGAGGGGCTAGTTCTCAGGGTCAAGGGTTGGAGCCCTCAGCACCTGCTGATGCTGCCCTCCCAGGAATGTACCCCTCCCCTCCTTCAGGCCTTTCTAATAAAGGTTCCAGAGCAGCAGGCAGAGTGAAGGAAGTGCTCTCCCACGCCAGCATCCAGGACACACACAGGAACACCAGGGTGTGGGGCGAATCCCAACTCCACCTCCTACAGCAGCTCCTGAAACCTTTCTGTGCCAATAAGACTTACCTCACAGGGTTAGTATGATAGTTAGATGAGTGATTACACCTACAGGTCCGAGTGGGGCTGGACAAACGGGGCCACGTGTCAGCTCATGTTATCATCCTTCACACATTTGTTCTAGTACCAACACTCACAGTAACACAGGACCCACACCCAGGTGGGGCTCAGGCTGGGGGTGGGCCTGGGGCTCAGGCTGGGCCTGGGGTTGGAGCTGGGGCTCAGGCTGGGGTTGGGGCTCGGGTTGAGGTTGGGGCTCAGGTAGGGCCTGGGCCTGTGGTTCAGGCTGGGGCTGGATTCGGGGGGCCGCACTGGGGCCCATACCAGGCCCCTGGTCTGGGCAGTAGCAGCAGACCGGCCAAGGCTTGCAACCCGGCTGACAGCAGACCTGTAGGGCAGGGTCCTCCCCCAGGGCCATCTGGCTGGGGCTGAAAGTCATCTCTGCATCAAATTGGGCCTTAAGCAGCTGAATCTCCTTTAGTGCCTGCAGCACTTCCTGGGAGACCAGGCTCGTCCCTCCTAGGAGGTCGTAATTCTCGCCAGGATCAGTGGACAGGTCAAAGAGCAGTGGGGGTTCGTGGGCAGTAAGTGGGCTTGAGGCATGGCAGGCTGGATCTGGAGTTGTATCGCTGTGGGCAGAGCCTGAAAGGCAGGGAGGTAAATGGGGTCCAGGAACCGAGGCGAGGGGGCCTGAAGTAGGGAGGCTGGGAGGGCCAGGGGAATATACCCTGGGTGAAGAAATGAGCCTTGTATTTCCCACTCCGTACAGCGAAGACCCCATGGACCTCATCTGGGTAGCTTGGGTAGAAGAAGACAGACTGCCGGGGGCTCTGGAAGGAAAGTTGAGAGTCACTGAGTAAGGAGGACCCTGCGCCATCATTACAAGCCCACAACCACCAGGTCCTGCTTCTCGCCTGCTCGGGAGCTGGGCAGTCCCCCGATGTCGCCTGATTAGCACTGCCCACACCAGTCACATTCATACTATGCTCACCGCCATGCCCACAGCACACTTGCTCAGTCTATCATGGGGGGCTGAAGTCACGGCCCACCTTGCCTGTGCCCAGCAGTACAGGGCTGAGGTCGAAGCCATCCAAGGTGACATTGGGCAGCGGGGCCTCAGCCAGCGCGGCCAGAGTGGGCAGAAGGTCCAGGGAGCTGGCTAGCTCGTGGGTCACCCCTGTAGGCAGAGGTCTGTCAGTCACTCAGTTAGGGAAAGTTGGGTCCACAAGGAGAGGGCCTGAGGACTAACCGGGGGTGATGTGGCCTGGCCAGTAGGCCAAGGCTGGCTCTCGGACGCCCCCTTCATAGGTGGTCCCCTTCCCACACCGCAGGAGTCCGGAGCAGCCGCCATGGGACATCCGCATCGTTTCAGGTCTGGGATACACATGGTTCGTTAGCAACAGGGAGTCCAAGGCCTCTGACCCACTGCTACTAATGCTCAGCCCCCACTGCCCATGGACAGCATCGAACTGTCCCTGACCCTGCCTAACCAAGACTGGCCCCTGTATCCCACTCCTCCTTGGCCAGAAACCAGCCCAGGACTGGGGAGCCGGCATACCCATTATCTGCGGTGAAGATGACCAGCGTCTCTCTGAGCAGCCCCAGGTCCCCAATGGTGGCCATCAAAGCCCCCACAGCCGCATCTAGCTCCAACAAGGAGTCCCCAAATGGTCCACGGCCTGAGTGTCCCATAAAGCTCTTTCCACTGAACTGGGGGTAGTGGGTATGCTGGGTGCAACCAAAGGCTAGAGTCAGCATTGAGCGGGGGTACTTGTAGGGCAGGGTGGGGCAGGACAGACACTCACATGAGAGGCGTAGTACAGGAAGAAGGGCCGACTCTGACGTTTTGCATCAGCCATGAGGTCCCGGGCAAAGGCCACGTAGCGGGCCTCCAGTCCAGGCAGCCAGGGGGGCTGTGCCTCCACAGAGAGGTTGGCCAGCAGCGGGACAGGGACCACACCTTGGTCACAGCTGCCCTCACATAGGGTGTCCGGTGGGAAGCAAGTCAGGTTCTGGCAAGGGCCCTGGGGAACAGCTCTAGTGAGGAACCTGGGGGCTGGGGGGTGGGGCAGTGACACGGGAGCGCAGGAGGTAGGGGGAGAGTAGCCCCCGCCCGTGGCCGTTTCCTACCTGATCGTGGGAGTATGGAATGCCCAGGAAGCGGTGGAAGCCCTGGTGGGGGGGCAGAAAGGCCCCTCCGGGCCCCACCCCGAGGTGCCACTTCCCAGCCATGCCTGTGAGATAACCTCGAGCTTCCAGGACCTCAGCCAGGGTCACCTCTTCCAGGGGCAGACCCCCCTTGGAGCTGGGCTCCAGGACTCCGGGGTACATGCCCAGGCGAACCGGGAGTCTGCCGGTCAGGAGGGCAGCTCTACAGGACAAGGCACATAGCTCCTGTGACCAGGCAGTGAGAGACCAGAGGAAGAAGGGGGCAAAGATAGGGAAACACCAAGGAACTCCCCCCCCACCCCCAGCTGAACTCTACAGTGAGCCCCATGTGCAGTCCACTGTAGAGCTGATCCCCACAGTGAACCCAGGAGGGGCTGGGCTGGGGCCGAGTGTGTGTGTGTGTGGGCCCTACTGTCCACTGACCGAGAAGGTGTACACAGAGCTACCGGCACGTAGAAATCCGTGAATCGCAGCCCCCCGGCAGCCAGCTGGTCCAGATTGGGGGTGGAGGAGCTGGGGTGGCCGTAGGCGCCCAAGTCCCCATAACCCAGGTCGTCGGCAAAGATGATCACGAAATTAGGGGGGCCAGCCGTGGCCAGGCCGACCAGGGCCAGAGCGAGGGGCCACAACAACCCCATGGCGATGAGTCGCAGAAGGGCCTGGCTTGGGACCCCTGGGAAAGACAGCAAACTAGCTCCAGAGACCCCAGCCCCAGGTCTGATGCCTCCTCAGTGACCCAGACCCAGATGTGACCCGTCTCCAGCGAGCCCAGACTCAGACTTCACTCCTCCCCGAGGCCTGAGGTCCGAGAACCACCTTAGACAACCCCCTTCTTGAAGTTTCAGCCTCGGACTCGGCCGCTGGGGACCTCCATTTGACGGAAGTCAGAAGTAGTGGCCTGGGATAGGAGCCCGGGACACCTTCAGACTTTACAGCGACCTGGCTCTGTTCACCTGGATGTCCCGAAACAGAAGTCGCAAGACTCTGACCTGCAGCGACCGGCGCGGCGGGGGCGGGGAAAGCCCGAGAAGGGGCGGGTCCCGGAGCGCGGGCCGAGAAGCGCTTCCGCCTTCGCGTGGCCCAGCCCATTCCCCGCCCCCTGTCCCGCCCCCTGTCCCGCCCCGCGGTTCCGTAACTCGCCGCGGCGCCAAACCAGGCCCGGGATGGGGCGCGGCCTACGCAAACCTCGGGGCGTGTCCCGGGGCGGGGTCCTAGTGGGAGAGGCCTGTGCAGTTCTTGCACAAGCTCGAGGGCGAGTCTAGGGGGCGGGACCTGGAAGTGGGGGCGTGGCGTGGACTCGGGCTCTTTCGGCCAGGTTCTCGGGCTCCTCCGTTCGCCCCAGGCCGTTAGCGCCCGCCTGGCGTTCGTCCTGCGAAGTTGGCTCCGGCCGGCAGGAGGCGCCCTACCCCCCTCCCTGTGTGGTGACCCTGGAGCTAGCTTCAGAGGCCGGCGGCAGCTCGTGCACCGGGAAACCTCTTCTGGTAGGTGGGGCCCCGTCTTTAGCAAGCCTGAACATTAGAAATGTTGTCAGTACTGACTCAGCGACTCTAAGCGCGACAGTGCAAAGCACTGCCCGGTCCTGTGTCAACCTTATCGCTACGTTTGAGCGCACTGCTGCTGCCACTATGCCAATCCATCTCGTTGAGGGTCTTCCTCCTTTTCTCCGACCCTCTACTTTATCAGACATGATATTCTTTTCCAGTAACTGCTCCCTCCTGATAATATGTCCGAAGTAATGAAGTCTGTCCATCCTGGCTTCCAAGGAGCATTGTGGTTGTACTTCTTCCAACACAAATCTGTTTTTTGTTTTTGTTTTTTTGGCAATCCACGGTACTTTTAATATTCTTCTCCAACACCATAACTTAAATGCATCAATTCTTCTACTGGCTTCCTTATTCACTGTTCAGCTTTCACATGCAATAAGGTCACTGAAAATACCCTGACTTGGGTCAGGCGCCCCTTAGTCCTCAGACTGTAACATCTTTGCTCATAAACACTTCAAAGAGGTCTTGTAAAGCAGATTTGCCTAATGCAATATGTTGTTTGATTTCTTGACTGCTGCTTCCATCAGGTTCTATGAAGAAAAACGTTGCATCAGTATTGAAGGAAGACTCATTAACAACCCGTGATATGCAGATGATACAACTTTGCTTTCTGAAAGTGAAAAGGACTTAAAACATTTACTGATGAAGATCAAAGAGCACAGCCTTCGATATGGATTACATCTCAATGTCAAGAAAACAAAAATCCTCACCACTGGACCAATAAACAATATTCTTATTAACAGAGAAAAGATTGAAGTTGTCAAGGACTTCACTCTTCTTGGATCAACCATCAACACTCAATGGAAGCAGCAGTCAAGAAATCAAACAACGTATTGCATTAGGCAAATCTGCTGCACAAGACCTTTTAAAGTGTTGAAGAGCAAAGATGTCAGCTTGAGGACTAAGGTGTGCCTGACCAAAGCCATGGTATTTTCACTAACCTCATATGCATGTGAAAGCTGGACAGTGAATAAGGAAGATCGTAGAAGAACTGATGCTTTTGAGTTATGGTGTTGGAGGAGAATACTAAAAGTGCCATGGACTGCCAAAAGAACCAACAAATCTATTTTGGAAGAAGTGCAGCCAGAGTGCTCCTTGGAGGCCAAGATGGCCAAACTTCGTCTCTCATACTTCGGGCATATTGTCAGGCGGGACCTGGAGAAGGATATCAACTTTGGTAAGGTGGAGGGTCAGAGAAAAAGAGGAAAACCCCCAGCGAGATGGATTGGCCAAGTGGTAGCATCAATGGGCTCAAGTGTGGCAACGATAGTGAGGTTGGCCCAGGACCAGGCAATGTTTCATTGTGTTGTGCATAAGGTCACTATGGGTCGATACCGACTTGATGGGACCTAACAACAACAACAAAAACAACAACTTCTATCAGCAAAGGCTTTACTCCATTCATGTCATCACAGCCAACTCTACTTTGAGGAGGCAGCTCTTCCCCAGTCGTATTTTAAGTGCCTTCAATCTGAGGGCTCATCTTTCTGTACTAGATCTGACGATATTTGGGTGCTCTTCATCATGTTTCAGTGCTGACAGTGTTTCACTGCTATTCACAGGGTTTTCAGTGACTAAATACTGAGAAGTAGGCCATCTGTACTTCTTCCCAATCTGACTTCACCTGAAAGCTCAGCTGAAACTTGTCCGCCATGGGTGCGTCTGCAGATATTTAAAATACCAGTGGCATAACTTCCAGAATCACAGCAACACAGAAGCCACCACAGTACGACAAACTGACAGATAGTGGCGGGTAGGAATACTACGGGCCCCTTCCTCCACATGGAGCTCTGGTGGTGTCGTGGGTTACACTGGACTATAAACTGAGCGGTCGGCAGTTTGAATTCAGCAGCTGCTCTGCGGAAGAAAAACAAGGCTTTCTGTTCCCGAAGAGCTTTACAGCCTCGGAAATCCTGTTGCTGTGAAGTGCCGTCAAGTCAGTTTCAGCTCATAGTGACCCTGTATAGGGTTTCCGAGGAGTGGCTGGTAGGCTCGAACCACTGACCTTGAGGTCCAGCGTTTATCTTACAGAGCCATACCAGGACTCCCAGAAATCCTATACGGGTCCCTATGAGTCAGAACAGACTCCATAGCGAAAAACAACCTGGCAAATGAATAAATCAAAATGGAAAGCGCACGAAGCCATGATATAAGTGAAAGGAATCCAGGTCCCTCTTAGTGTTTGTAATATGAAAGGGCAAATTCTTTAAACTCCTTCCTGTCTGTATGTGTGTGTGGTTGTCAGGGGTCAGGATGGACATCTCAAACTATCAAGCAAGGAGAACAGATTTGGGTCCTCGATCCGTGTCTGAAGGGTTGTAGACAGGTAACAACCTTTGCGGTCCTCAGTTGCCAAGACCCTTTACTGGTTTAGTTGTTAAGTGGGAATGGCAAAGTTGTTTTTCAGTGTGGAAGTCAGCACTGAGCGAGTGGAACCAAGGGCAGGGTAGTCACTGAGCCTCTGCAGGGCCCCCTTGGAAAACCCCTCAGGACAGAGCCCCCCAGAGCAGGTTCCCCTAAGAATAGCCCCCCAGGGCAGGTCCCCCTAGATCAGTTCCCCTTAAGATAAGCCCCCTAGGACAAGCCCTCAGGGTGGGTCCTCCAGAGCAGGTGCCCTCCCAGGACATTCCCTCCAGGGTGGGTCTCCCCAGAGCAGGAAGACCCTCCCAGATCAACTCCCTAGGGCCGGTTTTTTTAGGGAAGTCCCCCTAAGAACAGTACCTCCAGTGCAGTGTTCCCCTGGCAGGTCCCCTAGGACAGGTTCCCCCCAAGCTAGGGTTCCCCAGCTCACGCACCTCAGGCAGGTCCCTCTAGGACAGGTCCCCCAGAGCAGGCCCCACGCAGCTCCTTGACCTTAATCTCCTACAAGCTCATGATGCCAAGCCTTGGGGGAACTTTCAAAGATCTTCCGGAAGAACAGAACCTGGGATGCCCCAGGGAAGACTTCCTGCAACCAGCCAGCTCAGACAGAAGTCATCAACTCCCCAGAAAAGGCCACCAAGGTCTGGGGTGGAAGGGGCGGCATGGAGGGGCTGCATTGGCTTCCTGATGCACCGCAGATGTTCTAAGATAAGGAAGCAAAGGTCCAGTAGCAGTGTCCTTGTCCAGAGGGGCAGGGAGGGCTGGGTTTGCGGCTGCTGTGAGTAACGGGAGGGCCATTGCAGAGGTGGTTTCTGGGCAGAGCTTGGAAGCCATTCACTGTTGGATTCTTATAGATCCTCAGGGATCTTGTTAAATGTAGATTGGGGAGGGGGAGCTTGGGGGAGTGCAAATTCTCAGCATGGGCTCAGACCAGCCTGAACTGGTTTGAAACCCCGTTTCTGGGTCTGTGTGTGGGAGTGAGTTCCCCAAGGGGAGGGGCTGCCTGGCTGTGATCTAAGGCTAGGACCGAAAGCGTCTCTGTGACCCAGAAATCTTTGAACCTGTCATTGGAACTATCACAGCTGGTTGGCACTGTGAATTGGAGTTTAAAAAGGAATAAACCAAAAGTGCTTTCTTGCCTTTCATTTGCAAGCTGGGAACTACCCCAGGTGGCCAGGACCTCCTGCCTGTTAGTCTCTGGAAGAGACTGCAGGAGCCTGTGTGCAGGAGACAGCCCAGATACAGGCAGCTTTGCCCACCTGACCTCCAGTCCTCGCGCGGGCGTGTTGAGCGTTGCCAGGATGTCAGTTCAAAGCCAGACCTCTGCAGGCTACTGCCGCCTTTGAAATGTGAGTCCTTTTTCGGAGCTACTGTGTGAGCCTGAGAGTGGAAGCTGGACCAGCCCACTGTGGAGCTGCGGCTCCCTGCAAGAGGGTCAGCCTGGGACAGAGCCCAGATTAGAGGCCACCCGTTGGGTGCAGGAAGCAACTCAGGCACCCGGGCATTGCTAATTTGGGACTAACGCCCACAGATGTGGGCGAGGGGCCTTGAAGTAAGGGGTGTGGAGTTTTTCTTCCTGCCACTTGGGCGAGGGTGAGAAAGCCCTCACTCTCGGGCCAGGTAGGTGGTGGTTGGAAGTGGGCAAGAAGCAAATTCACTTGGCTTTGTGCATGAGGGATTCTACTGCAGGTTGATTGAGGGCAACAAGGCATATGCTGGGGACTGGTAGTGTG